AAAGAGTGGTTGTGATTAAACAATCGATAATCGTTTTGTCAGGGTAAAGACAATACAAATGTTCATTGATAACGAGTATACGGTTAACAACAAATTAATTTTCTGTGAGGTAATTAGCGTTGCCGAATATCTTTAAAGATAATAAGGTGTGGATTTCAGAGAGAGAAACTTGTACTTTGCGGCTTTCCTTTGCTATTTGTAGGATCAGCGGAGTGCTTTTAATTTCAGCTTTTAAAGGAAGATTTGGGGGTGGATTTTGGTTTATACAGTGTCGGATAAATTTGCGCTCACGGGCAAACTCATAATAACATATCTTCGATACACACAATTTTAGATAGACAGGCGGGTCGCACACGCGATATGTTAAGTCACGAGAAAATGATTTTCTCTTGGACAAGTATATGGTTAAGACAACAAATTAATTTCCGGCGAGGTAATTAGCTTTGCCNGGATTTTGGTTTATACAGTGTCGGATAAATTTGCGCTCACGGGCAAACTCATAATAACATATCTTCGATAGATACAATTTTAGATAGACAAGCGGGTCGCACACGCGATATGACTCGTCAAGAGAAAATTATTTTCTCTTGGACAAGTATATGGTCAAAACAATAAATTAATTTCCGGTGAGGTAATTAGCTTTGCCAAATATCTTTAAAGATAATAAGGTGTTGATTTCAGAGAGAGGAACTTTTCAGCGGAGTGCTTTTTATTTTGGTTGGTACATTTCGCTGACCCCTGGCACATGGACTAACAAGATGGACCTGGTACGTGAACTACTTGAATGAACCACCAATGGACTACCCTAAGTGTAAACCCCTAAACTTTCTAACCCAAAAGTTTAAGAATCAGTTTGTCTGCTCATGTCCCAATCTTCTAGGAACAATTTTTAAACGTCATCGCTTCTGCATGCATTGCGTGCCGTTTATTTTTCTAAACTTGCCACGCAGAAAGGTAATGATCTACTTTTGCCAAAAAGGCAAAAAAATGCGGGGGGAGGGGNGGGGGGGGGGGTTACCGACTTCGTTTTGGAGAGATTATGCCCGGAAGAACACCCTAAATCTGAAAAAATCGGGCTTCGTTAGCGAATAAGGTCACAGTGTCTGTAAGCCCCAAAATACTGCAATTAGATCTTTTAAGTGAAATATTCTCTGTCAAATACGCATTTAGCGATCATAGTTTCACGCGCCTTGCAGCCGCAAGATGGCAGGATTCGAAGCCCCGTGGACAGAAATCTTGAAATT